TGAAGCTTGAACTAGTTTTAATTTGAAGTATTATCATTGAAAAAAGAATTGAAAATATGAGTATACGTGTACTATTACAGGACTAGGTGGATGTTTATTATGGCTTCATGTCAGTAGATATATAAAATATAAAGGTGATTATGCACAAAGTTGCAAAATTACTGCTGGGCTTCTCGAATTTTACTTGTTATCTCTGATTTTAAAAGAAAAGGTAATTGATAAATATCACGTCTGACCACCTTCTCTTTTACGGGTATTACACACTGTTACATGTATTCTATTATCCCCCGGCGCCCTTCTGAAACGGAATGTAATTCAGTCGCTTATTTACAGTTAAAGTTGATTAATATTTATGTTTTAAAAGCTAAGTTTTTAATTAATTTTACCAAATCTACTGCTATTCGATTTTTTTTTTCAATTTTCAATTTTGCTTTTTCTGTTTCTTAGTTAATAAGCATTTGGATATGTATTCGGTAATGTTTTGTGATAGGAAATTATTATTCGAGATCGCTATGCTTTGCAAAATATATGCAGATATATTTGCATAAATTGATATTTCATTATAAATTATAAACCAGAAGTCTCTTATGAGACTGTAGCTCTACTGGTCTGTAATATAACAAAGGAAAAGTAGCACTTGGATTTGAAACTTTGCAACATACAGCAATCAAGAGAATAATGTATCTTAATGTAGTCTACTTGTGTGCCAAGTTATATTGAAATCAAACAAAAACTGTAGGAGGAGTAGCGTTTTAAAGGAATTTCATATCTTAGTGAAGTCTACTTGTGTGCCAAGTTATACTGAAATCAGACCAAAACTGTAGGAGGAGTAGCGTTTTAAAGGAATTTCACAGAAATTTCTATTTTTAGTAACCATGGCAACACCGTTCATCGAAATCAAAAACAGATGCACTAAATTATGTATCTTAGTGTAGTCTACTTGTGTGCCAAGTTATACTGAAATCAGACCAAAACTGTAGGAGGAGTAGCGTTTTAAAGGAATTTCACAGAAATTTCTATTTTTAGTAACCATGGCAACACCGTTCATCGAAATCAAAAACAGATGCACTAAATTATGTATCTTAGTGTAGTCTACTTGTGTGCCAAGTTATACTGAAATCAGACCAAAACTGTAGGAGGAGTAGCGTTTTGAAAAATTGTTTACAGACAGACGGACAGACAGACAGACAGACGGATGGACGACGGATACCTTACTATCGCATAAGCTCTTCTGGTCTCTGACCAGTAGAGCTAATAAAATAAGATTCTACAATCATGCTGAATTTTTAAATAATAAAGGTTTGATGACAAATCACAATGTATTTTGAAGGTGAGTGTCTTCGTCTTCGCCGTGTTCCCCTTACAATCGTCGCTGTTATTTTACCGTGTTTACAGATTTTATAGATTTTATACTGATGGCATTTCAAAATTTCAAACATAAGGTTAAGTCTCCAACCTAATATCGATAAAATCAGTGATTTGGTCGTTTATATTGCTTATATTTTAGTAAAATTAAGTTTATATTGCGTATATTTTAGTAAGATTAACGTAAACAACTGATCAGTCATTGTCCCCTATGACGTATCACGGTCCCGTGATCGCTATTGTATTAACTGGAATTTTTAATTCAGGGATTTTTATTCGAGTCAAATAATGTTTAATTAACGCGGTATATCCGCACTAAAACACAAATTTTATAAATTATAATGCGTAAGGAATGTAACACACTTTTAATTTTAAGTAATTGAGAAACATGCGGTATGTCCTTAAAGTTATAAAGAACGCTGTTGTCATTGAATATTAAGAATTTTCATGCTAGTTCAAATTAAATTATTGATCTGAAGAATTCATTTCAAAATGCAATTATAGCTAAGCCTCTTTAATTTGAAATTAAGGAAATTAGGATTTGCATTTGAATATCCTATTTCCTTGCAAAATTATAATGACGTTAGGGAAGAAAAATACTTGTAACCATTCCAGTTCAACAGAAAATTTAACTACATATTGCACAGTTTTACTTACTCCTTCGCTCAACGCTTTCTAATACTTTCAGTACTTTGATTATACAATGTATTGGATTATGTACGTAGGGTGGATTTTGTTTTTGTCATCTAAAGATTCGGTATTGTTGATTTAAACCATTATCTTTGAAGCTGTGTTTTCTTAACCCTATCCACATATTTCACAGTGTTTGGATAGTTTCAAAATTTGTACATGTAAGTTGTGTTTTTAGAGACCAGGCAAAATTTATCAAAATGATCGGGACAAAAAAAATTGTATTAAAAAAAACAAAAAAAATACATGTCCCATGGCTCTCAAATAAAAAAAAGTCTATCCATGCCTTAAGACATATGAAAAAGGTTACTGTACCATTGTTACATCTTGATGTTCGTGAGATTATTGCAACAAAAATAATTAGTAGTACAATTTACATTATTAACAATTATTTTTAAATAATAACTTCAGTGTGCATGTATAACATGGATGCAATGAAATATAAGATGATATTTATATAAAGAACTGGGTACGTTACGTATAACAAGGCGGCCCTGTCTCCAAATTTGATTTCAGTTTTTTACAAACATGCCTAATATGTGTCCTTTCAAAATCATTTTATTTTTTTAATTATCACAAACCGTCAGAGGCCTCGAAAAGTGGGGAGTTTTCTTTAAAAATTACAAATTTTGACGTGATAACGTCATCACGGCGTTACTGAGTTTAACGTTACGTTAAAAGAAATCTGTAAATTCTCTGAACCGGAAACTATTTACTCTATTCTGCCTTATGTTCCAGAAAACAATTTTGAACTTTTATTTCAATCCATCTTAATAATGTATCTTTGATAGCTGGAAGGAGTATAATAATTTATAATTAAAAGAAAATATAATTTTATTACAAACGATTTCATCAGACAAGTAAAGAAGCCTGATTCATCCATACAGACGAGACAAGGTACGTACTTCTTTTAACATTGTGCGAGCATCAAATTTATGTCAATAATCCGATCAGCATGATGAATGTATACAGTAATATATAATTAATAAGTGTAAATACATGTAAGAACTTTTCCATTTCCAGCTGCAGACCCTCAATAAGTAAATGTAGGTCGGCAGTGGCAGATTTAGAATATTTAGTCATATGTAAAACACTTCCTGATTATGCGTTTAAACACTAGAATCCTTTCTGACATAATTAGTTCATAATACAGTGACAAGGATAACAAGTTTTGAAAAGAAATGTTCAAATGGTGACTGCTATACTCCAAGCTTCCCATCTACCCCCCCCCCCCCCTTTCCCCGCCCCAATCACTAGCTATTGTCTTTTGATATTCATGAATCCCAGACATATATAAATTGAAAATGAATAAAACATACTTAAGAAAGCTGATGATTTTCAATAAAAAAAGGTTTAAAAAAATCTTTTCTTGAAGTCAAATAAAGTGAATGTCCACTATGAATGAGACGCGCGTTTTAGTTGGAGGTACATATATGATTAAATGTAAATTAATTGTCTGAACCATCCCAACTTATATCGTTATTACTTTTTTACGATGTAAATATTGATTGAATATTTATCATAGTTGTGAAGACTGGAGAATTTGTTTCAAGTACATATGTTCAACATGATTGCTCTTTGTGACGTCATCTTTTCAATGGATTGCGTCATTAATTTACATGTAATGTCCAATAATAAATTTCAATGACAAATGTTTATATTGTTTTCATTTGCATAAATTGTATTAAATTATTCCTCAAATGCAGAATTAAATTTAAAAGACAATAAAAAGATAATAAATCCTTCAGATATACAATTAAACAATTAATTTCTTTAAAAGTATAGATTTATTGTGGAAAAAAAGTGACGTCTATCCAAAAATGCAGCATTCTCAACTTCAATTTTTTGTAAAAACGGATGTGGCCGCACTTTTGTAAGGTCATTTTTTCTCTTTAATATTAGAAATCGAGTAATATTTGTTCTTTCTGTGAAGTTTTGCATACATACTCGGATGCGGCCATATCGAAATGTAGACTTGAATAGGAGGAAAACGTCCAAAATAAGGGAATTCCGGAATATTAGAGACTGGTTTTGAACGTTATATAAATGAAAGGGTGCTTGAGTTGAGAAAAATTGTTACCCATTTCACACACAGGGAAACCTCAACAGTAACTTGATACATTTGATAAAATGTAAACCTGCGTTTAATTTTTGCCAATCTTACAGGGCCGATTATTGGGCTTACCGTACCCAGTTCTTTAAGATAACTTTGCTTGAACAATAGTGATTTTTCTAAAGAAATCCAAATTATAATGAAAGTGCGTAGAATTTCAAAAGACGCGTGGGGTAGAATTTGACCGAATGAATTGCAACTAAGTTGATATTTATATATTACACGAACGTGTGAGTTATACCTCTTTTCAGAGGAAGGATTGATTGATTGATTGTATGTTGTTTTACGTCCCATTTGAGAATTTTTCACTCATATATAGACGTCACCATATACCAGTGAAGGGCTTCAAATTTAGACCTTTACTCGGCACTCAGGGCCATTGAGCAGTGAGGGTTCTTTATCGTACCAACGCCTACCGTGACTCGGGGCCTCAGTTTTTAAGGTCTCATCCGAAAATCCCGCCACTTTCACTTCAAAATGCCGAGCGCTTGGCGAAGGAACAGTTGTGTCATGTACCTATTTAATTCGAATTAGGTCAGTCGCGGCCGTGATTCGAACACACGACTTTCCGATCACGGAGCGAGCGCCCTCCCGACTGCGCTACCGTGACGGTTTCAGAGGAAGAAAAATATTAAACAAAATGTAGATCTGAGAGTTTGTAAGAAGGATAAAACATTGATGTATTTTAATATCACATAGTACACTCCTAATCTGTACAATATTTCGTAAATGAGTTTATGCCTCTTTATAAAAGAAACAGAAATCCTTTATGAAGATGTCACTTGACTGATCTTTTTGAATTTGTAATATGTAATTGAATATTTGTAGCTCTCTAGTTCACTTCAGTCTCACTATCCTCTCTTTCCCTGTCCTCAATTTCATTTCCACTTTCCTCAGTATCATTCTCTTCACTCCCACTTTCACTGCCATGTGCTTCTATCACTTTACCATCGGATATATCAGGCAAAATCAATGAAGATGCAATATATTTTTGTCCGAAAACATTTCTGGTTGTTTTAAAGATGATATTCTAAAATTTGTGAGCAGTATATTTTGAAAGAGATTTACTGAAGTAATGTGTTTATATTCATAACTCTTAATGAAAATTGTTCGTTACTTTTTGCTTGCTGTATTGATATGAAGATTTATGTTGTACTTTTTACAATTTGTTTCACATAAAAAAATATACAGACTTTCTTGGTTTTTTTTTTAACTAATGCGAGTTCTTTTTCGTCAATCTTGCACACAAGTCCAGCTTCAGGAATCACTCTATCTAACTGCAGTGTGACTCCTTTCTCGATTCAGATCTCTTCGGTGGAATAAAGCCCACGTTTCCCAGTAATAGGCCGCCCAGTTTTACTTGTAACGCAGTGTGGGAAGTGCTCGTAAATTTTTCCTTATGTATAATTGATTGTATGTTGTTTTACGTCCCATTCGAAAATTTTTCACTCATGTAGAGACGTCACCATTTACCGGTGAAGGGGTTCAAATTTTGACCTTTACTCGGCACTCAGTGCCATTGAGCAGTGAGGGATCTTTATCGTGCCAACGCCTGCCGTGACACGGGGCCTCGGTTTTTAAGGTCTCATCCGAAGGACCCGCAACTTTCACTTCAAAGTGCCGAGCGCATGGCGAAGGAACAGTTGCTACCCATTTTTTATCGACTTAGGTCAGTCTCGGCCGAGATTCGAACTCGAGACCTCCCGATCACGGAGCGAGCGCTCTACCGACTGAGCTACCGTGAACGGTTTTTACTTAAATAAAATGATTGATTCAATTGATTATATGTTGTTTTACGTCCCATTCGAAAATTTTTCACTCATATAGAGACGTCACCATTTACAGGTGAAAAATTCAATTTTTCCTTTACTCGGCACCCAGGGTCATTGAGCAGTGAGGGATCTTTATCGTATCAACGCCTGCCGTGACATTGGACCTCGGTTTTTAAGGTCTCATCCGAAGGACCCGCAACTTTCACTTCAAAGTGCCGAGGTCATGGCGAAGGAACAGTTGCTTAATATTTTTTTTATCGACTTAGGTGAGTCGCGGCCGAGATTCGAACTCACGTCCTTCCGATCACGGAGCTAGCGCTTTTTAAAAAAAAATGTGTCTCCTGAGTTAAATATTGTACATGTAAGAATGTTTTTGTCCCATGGTTTTCTTCGATGGCAAGTTATTGTCACATGTCTGCTTGTACCGGTCTCATCGCTGTGATAAATTTTACCTGGTCTCTTAATGTCGTATTTGTATAACGTGTACCCCTGCGTAGGGTTCCCAGGGGATGAATATTTCTCTAACTCTACCTGATTTTATGATCAAGGATTTCTAAATATAAAGTATAATAATTTTTCTCTAACTTATTTCGGTTTCTATTGTCTCTAATACAGAAGATATAAGGTGAGTTGAATTCTAATGATTGAGCTTGGCACCGTATACATTGGTCCAAGTTCCTTTTGATAGCGCGGATATACTAGGTGTTTCAATCTTATTCAGATCTACAGCCCCCAATATTTCGTCTTAATTCCCTGGGTTTCTTGTCACTGTTGCAAAATTGAATTATTTTACCCTTTCTCTTACTCGTCATCCCTATCCGTTAAATTTCTCTTACTTCCCCTTTCAACCGCTCTGCATTCAGAAGACAATGAAACTCTCAGTGCAGTCAATTATATAACCTTCAGAGTAGTCTACATTGAGGGTAGACAGGTTATTCCATTTCAACCCTGGGTCTACTTTTTTTCCCATTAATCATTACAATTGTAAATTTGACTAGTGTAGGTATGTATAACATGAAACTTAAAGACGTAGTTTTTCCAGGTATGCACCAAACTATTCTTTAAATGATTTCGTACAAATACAACCAGACTAGGGACCTACTGGGAGCCAGTTGACGGAAGTCCGTTGTAAGATGGGGAGTAACTTGACATGTTTATGTCCGCAAACACAATTCCTGCAAATACAGTACCTGCATGGTTTCACATGGCTCACATCCATAAATACAATGTATATAGTATCAGCACGGCGTGGCTTATAAAAAAGACTCTAAAGTTTTATTTGCTTTATCTGCAGTGTGAATATTGTTAAATAATTTCAAATGTTGATACATGATAAGGTCGAAAATAGGAAAAAAAGGTTTTTATGGCTGTCTGGACGGAGACAGCGCATCTGCCGTCAACAAAACGATATCAAATATTAGAATTACATGTTAAATAAAAGTATACATTCTCCTTTTTCAAATTACCCAAGTTTGATTGTGTCTATTCATTATTTTTAAACATGTACTGGTAATAATGAAATTTAAGTTAAGGAAACAGAAAATAGTTAATTAAAAAAAAAATACACTTAGCAGATGACATACACGCATTCTCATGATTACCTGTCAAGTACAGAGATGGATGAATATCTGTAACATATCTATACAGACACAATGTATTGCAGTACCATGAGCCAATCCTAAAAATGCTCCTTTCTTCATCATAATCAATGCACCTAGGTCTATATATCTCTTCTTCTGGTAAGGTTAGCGTTTGCAGGTGGTGACCGTCTTTGTCAATTATATGTATGCTGTTAAGGTTCTCATCACATACAAGAATGTTTGACATTGTGTCTGTACAAATTCCATATGGTGAAAAATCAGATTCTGGTGATAAGAAAGAAGATTCCGTGAAGGAGAACCGATGTTTTCCGGCGCGGTCTATAACTACTACGGCTTGGCTTTGCAAATCAGACACTATAACATCACCATTGAGATTTTCAGTTATATAGGCGGTATATCCATATAGCCTATGATTCCAGTTGCCATCTGTGATAGTCTGAACCCGCTTCCCTGAAGATTTGTATCTGATGATACTTGTTATGTCTTCAGGAAAATATATTTTCGTCCCTACGAGAAGATCTCCTGTTGATTGAGATGAGTATATACACAGTGGTTCTAATTTATTTTTTTTCTTTATTAATGTAGTTGTTGTTTTGGCTTCTGTGTTTAGTTTGTTGATGTTACCATCATTATCTATATAAATCAGTTCCCGACCATTACTTACTGTGTGTACCCCATAGCCATGCAGTTTCACATTCATCAAATTATGAATTGTGTTACCTTGGGTATCAGTCAACATAATGTTACCTAAGTTATCACTTATCCAGAATTGATCTGATGTCCAGCGGGAAATGTGACAAGCATGATCAATTCCAGTCAATGTAACATCTTTTTGAAACACAAGATAAAGTCTATAAAGAGGTCTTACATGTAGTTTTCCCAGAACTTTTTGTTCCCTTCTAAGAACATTAATTTGCAATTTTCTTAGAAAATGAAATATATTATTTTTATGTAATTCACTGGCAAGTGAAAATATGGGAAAACGTCGAAGATCTTTGCAATTAGTTTTTGTGTGCATTTGAAATTTCTTTAATACAAAGAGGAACTTTACTGGTTTGTTTGCTGACATTTCAAACTTTTTCTGGAAAATTTCCAAACGATTTATAAAATTCGACATTTTCTTCACTTGTGTTTGCATTCTGTGTATAATAAACCATTTGAATTGCACGCATACTTCCTTTGACACAGTGTCAGAAAGATATTTTAAATCTTCAGCTTTTTGTGACATCATTGATTTAACATTTAAGAGGTACTTGTGACAGAGGATCATATCAGTTTTAATTGATGCAAGGAGTTCACATCTGTTATAAAGAATGTTCCCTCTGATATTGTCAATATTTGCTTTGCATTGTTGTCGTTTTGTGTTGTAAGCAGATATGATATCAAGTAGCTCGTGCTTCTGGTGTCCTGCACATTGCTCGCAAAGAGGAAGCAAACATTGTTTACAGTACTTCCTGTAACATCTTTCAGGATGTCTGGTACAGGTCTGGCTCAAATTGATCAATTCAAATTTTGTACGATAAGGCACAACATCATGATGGAAAGAGCTAAAATTCACAACATGTTTTTCCCTACACTCACTACAAAAATCATTTTTGCAGGATTTGCAGTAGAATTCTGTAGTACCCCTGCATCGACTGAGGAACGAACATTGTCGTACCTTACACTGTGAACTGAATTTCTGCATTTTCCTGACATGGAAAGTTGAATAATCTGCAAAAGAACAAGGTACGGTTTCAATACAAATCTTGCCCTGTGTTTTTCTTAAAAATAAAAGTGATGTAAAAAATTAAAACTCATGCTTTTTGAATTATTGAAATTTCATGCAGAAAGATCATACAATTTTTTTTTTCACAAGACCTTCCAAATGCTAATTGTGACGTCATAAACTTGTGCATTTTCCCGTATTTTCTTAAAAAGTTGCAGAAGACATCAATTTTCAATGGAATTTTCTTTCAGATAATATTGTCCACAGGCATCGCACACAAAGATTTTGAGATATGTGATTTTTCAAAGAATTTTACACAACATATCTAAAAATTAACGTGGGCGACGGCTGTGGACACTATTTTCTCAAGGAAAATAACCCTTGAAATGGGTAATTTTGAGGCTTTTTCTGTTTAAAATAGAGAAATGCATCAAATTAATGAGTCATATATCCAGAATGGTACTCCATCATGCTATATTCTTTCCTGATTTATTACAGTCATATACTCAACTAATATTTAAGCCAGTTTCAAAACTTTTTGAAAACATAAAATTTTTAGGGCACAATAAAGCTAAAACCATACCTTCTTCTTTAATGAAGTCCAGAGAAAATGAAATTTATATTAAACTTAAAATAGACATTAAAATATTAGCTATACTGAAGTTAAATATTCTGCCAATTAAAAACTATTATGATACTTCCAAATCCTTGAATTACATGGACTGAAAGGAAACATTATACCTCAATAAAAGACCGATTAGAGAAAAAGTAATTAAGGAGTGTTGCACACGCTAAATTTTAACCAACTGACTTACTGATTCATCGTAAATGATGACATATTGAATAATTACCTGCTTTTGTTGAATCAGAGTTTTTATCAGTTTAGACCTTTTTGTAAGACACACATAATGATAAAAATATTCCAATTTCCTGTTAGTAATTTTGGAATATGCATAGGTTTGAAATATGATATCAGTTTGCATGTGCATAATTTTGTCGTTTAATTATCTGTAAACAATTATGGCTGCATCCCATGAAAATAACTGTGGCTCTATTGGTGAAGGATTTGCTTATCTAAAGCAGAGGGAATTATTTTACTATTCTTGAAAACAGATATTGCAAACACCAAAAAAGTTATCCAGAATGCAAAATTTTCTCACAGTGAAAAAACAAAACTTTGAATAATTGTCACACAGTATTTCAACTCATAATAATAAAAATAAAAAAAATCGGAAAATTTCAATGTAAATTTCAACGTAATTTGAAATAACCTGCCTATTCTAGAAGACGACACAGTCATGAAAAAAGTATTAGAAGATTCACAGATTATCAAATGTTACGAACCACCAATAATCAATTAATGCACAAACGTAGATGCAGTACATGTCCATACATTACAGATGGAAATCCGAAATCAAATAATTATTGTTAAACAACACTCGAGCGGCGTTTTCTTAGCTATGCGACAAACGCTATATTGCAAGATGTTCCCAATTTGATACTCCCTAATTACGAGATACTCCATGCTTGGAATCGATCTCCAATTTTCTACATTTCCAAATGTACATTATGGTTCGAGGGCTGCACATTCCTTATTGCGGAACTGAAAGTTTTATAAATATTTTATTTGAGACGTTTTGTGGAATTTTTATACAATAAAACATATGTAGGTAATGGAATTTTACGATGTCTTTTGATTGTTTGAATTTCTAGTATCTGTTGACGATACTATTTGAAAAATATGTATTTTCGGAAAGGAAAAAAATCACGATATCTTAATCAGCTAATAAAAGAGTTGTTGGAGGCAGATACGATGCCATAAAATTTGCCAAGTTTATTACGATTCTATCTAAAAATAAAAATTAACCCATTGCCTAATTATCTCAGACACGAAAACTACTGAATGGATGCAAATTTATCAAAACTATAATTACAAAGAGTGTGACGGACAAAAGTTACCCATATATTTCATTCGTATTTAAAAATTCTACCGTTCCTCGAATAAAATTTACCCTTTAAAAAGTGTAAGAAAAAAAAATACAAAAACTTATACATGAAATATTAGGATTTTCTTGCGATTTCAGTGGGCTTAATTTACATCTAGGTCAGTCTTCTCCTGCATGCATGTGTTCACAAATTAAACTTCGTATTGCGCAATGACTAGCAGGGTCAGTGCATATTGAGATTACATATGAGAAATAGCATCGTCGCAAACCACGGCCAAAATGTACGATCCTCTCCCATTCTGGAGAGAGCTATGTGCGGACTTCGAACCGTGGCTTGAGACGATGGGGAAATAGAGGCTGAAAAATATTTTGTTAATCTGTTCTTCTGTTTTTTTCTGTTCGAACAGTATATATCAAAGAAAAAAGTAAGACTTCTGTACATTTTTTGAAGTCTTTTAACCTTTTAGAAATAAGTAAATTACATTTCGGAAATTTGGGAAGATGGGAATCCAAAGATAAAGTCTGTTTCAATATCTTTCAGCCAAAAGTGATTCATTCCTTTTTTACCATATACTTTATGAAAAGTTTGTTTTTGTTTAAAATGTATTGTGGGTTCAATTTTACTCAAAATTTCAGAAACTTTCCCAATAAGTTGTTCACTTATTTTTTTTTTGGGGGGGGGGGGGGGGGGGTTTCAAGTGCAACAAAAAAAAAAAAAACATATCAAATTATATGAAATTTGATATGGAAATTTTTAATAAATAATATTATTACATATTATATAGTACATGCATTTATTATTTATTCTATTTAAGTATTTAACTCAATTGATATCACATAATTAGTCTAAACGCGACATTAAACTCATTGTTAATTACGACGATTTATAGCGATTTCTATATATTATGCATGGCTTAAGATACTATTTTTTTGTTCAGAGTATAGCGTCGATTTCTAAATGTGTGTTTGAGGAAGGAAGCAGAGATCGTTGACAAGCAAAACAAAATAAATAAATCTCTGAATAAAAAGACAATCGGTAAAAGTTTAAACTAAAAAGGAGAACCCATCTTTTTTTGGATAGAGATACTGGTATCACGGGAGATTCGAATCCCCTACTATAAAAACGAATGAGGAGGGGTAGGGGCAAACGACCCCTATATGAATAATTCTATGCTCAATTAACTGCTAAGAGGAAAAACGGAAGAGGGAGATGCCACGATAATTTGCTAAAAAAATTATTATTTTTTTTTTGGTTAAATGATCTAATAAATACATAAAAAAGTAGTCTCTGATAAAAATTACTATTGTATCAATTTTCTTAAATTGTTCCGATAAAAGCTGGCTTGAAATTGAATTGCTATATGTTTAGGAAATAAATACAGCTTAATGTGGACTTTTTCCCAAAGCCTTATGATCAATGTTGAAGAAAATAACAACAAGCCCTACATCGACGGAGATATTAGGATTAAAAATATTTATGAAACAGAAGAAACAACAGATTAAACAATAGATTAGGCTGTAAAGAAATTACAAACTTCTGATAAATGTTGATATGACGACATCTTTTGAGAATAAATCACTGAGACGGAAAAAGTGCTGGTAACAAGTGGTTATAGGTGTCATATAATTGGTGTGGTGCAAACGGACTGATTTTACACACATCTTTTATTTTCCATTTTTACAGTGTTCTTTTTGGTTATCTCCCCGTGACATTACGCGGGCTTATACTGTACATAATACAAGTATATTTGTGGCCAGCTCGCGTTTGTTATTTGTTCGCTATATATTAGCGGGATTTGTGGTGCCGTCAACTAAAAGCACTACATTATTCAAATGTTAAGAAAATGTTGAAAATCATCAACCACACCAATCGTAAGACAAGAAAGACAATCAAGAAATCTACATTTTGATAAAGTTGAAAAATAAAAACACTGGTGATGTTTCAAGCGGAAAAAACAGAGGTTCAGGCAAAACTTTGATAACCGTAAAATATGTTTTAAAACAACATTTTTTTTTCTGACTATTGAATTTATGTATGTAATAAAAAAGTCACATTTCGCGTTGAAATCTTGGACGTCGAGTCTC